GAGAAGAAAACTCGAGTGGTACTTTAATTTGAAAAACAAAGAAGACCAGGGTCAAAAATTGCTGAGCAAACATAAAATACAACATTTGAACATAAGCCGGATGCACAATATAGATTGTCGACGTGGGTGGTGAAAGTGGCGAAATTTGATAAAACATGAAATGTAGTTCTACCATTACAAAGAAGTTTAAAAAAAATCATTAACTTGAGTTTTCCTGGTGCGATTTTACTAGGCGTCTTGTTAGTAAATTAATCCATAAAAATATTAATCGAAAACACATTCGTACGGGGATATCCCATAATAACTCAAAGTATCATGAATATCGAAATACTAATCACAATTTAATATTAGGTTCATACACTATAACAGAGAGTGTATGGCCTCTGTTCTTATTTAAGCCAATGTATTGAGATAATTGGATGATTACAGACGTTTTTTGTTTTGGGAATATGAAAATTGATGATATATCAAAAGATACGCCATAACTCGATAATGGATTTCCTAATCTTCAAGAATCTAATCATTGTTTTATTGTAAGGAATTTTAAGTCTTGAATCAAACAGTTGGATGGAATCAATAACAGTTTACCATTTTATCTCATTTAGTTGAGATATACATTTGGATAACGACCTCTTATTGGATGTGTGTTGGCAAAATCGTGAGAATACCATCTGATAGTATTAATGCACAAACGTATTGTAGCCCTGCGTCTACCAAATATATAATGTTAACGTTGTTCGTTATATTAGTGTGGGAATTCGTGAATATTAAATTTCCAATATCAATATATATATATATATATATATATATATATACACAAATAACAATGAGCGGCTGACAATCACGATACATATAATAAAGAGATAAATTGGCGACGGGACATGCAAACAAGAAATGAGGTCGGGTCAAAAAGATTGTTCACATATTGCCCCGCATATGACACCCGTCATATATCATATGACTCCTATTCGGATGGTTCCTGTAAACAAACTTCTTCTTCTTCTTCTACGAATACCGCTTTGCCAGATCTAATATTAAGAGAGCTGCACGTCATTAGACAATTTCATTAAAAAAATATTATTTATATAATTAAATAAGAAAAATATTATCTGATAACTTGAACAGGTATTGTGTAAACTGGTTTATTATCTGCACAAATATCAACACATAGAAAATTTGAACGAGGTTGTCATGGCAGATAGCTTTGGATAAGACATTAACTGACAGATCAAAAAGAAACTTGACGCGCGACTGTGGGAGTGAAACAGACCATTAGACCGTACCCTCGTAGTATGCTTCCTGTGCAGAGTAGGTCACTTACACGATTCTTTATATGATATATCGGTGTATAATAACATCGTTCTCTATATAACTTAGTCCAGTAGCGACAAAGCGGTTCTGTGACGTAATTGGATGAGCGGCACCATTTTAATTGTTGGTTGTGCGTCAATACAAAAGCTATTTTTAGAAATTAACTTTACTTTAAAAGGTGAGCGAGGACACAACAGTATCGAGAAACCGACGACATGAATGACATTGCTTGCACCCATTACGTACAATTGACGTCACGGAAGCACAACGACTAGGAGTGGTGAATTGCCATAACCGTTAGAATCTGCTAAGATCATTGAATTACTAGCTTAACGGAAGCCGTACTGACCAATATAGGAATGTCGATCATTAAAAGGTGGCGGTCGTCGCGCTGCGTTGTGTTCGATATGGGATTCATAGCAACGTACACAACGCGCGTAAAATACTTTGTTTACATGAATTTCGAACACGCGATGCGCACTGACCACTGCCCTTTAAATCTATTAAGAAAAACTCGACGGATTTTCGTTAAATATAATATTAAAAGTTATCATATCAGGTAGACACTTATCTCGACAGAAAACATTTTACGCCGACAAACTGTATGAAATTACGCCGCACTCAACCCGCTATCACAAATAGAACTGCGATTACCAAGCTGTGATGAGATGAAACCGTTCACTCAATTTTCAGTAAAATTGGCTTTCAATGATATTCAATGACCCCATATTTTACATCAGATGTCACATTGGCAAGATATCAAATTGCATTGTTTTATATAGACAAACTTCACAACCGTGCTTGTCTCCAAACGTGTACACACTCGTCTTTGAAGTAAATAAAATGGCCAACAGATGGCGCACGTACCGAATTTTTAATAAATCTTATAGTTGTATTGCAGTGAATATACAATTTTGAGAATAGCGATGTTTCCAGAATTCGTTCTTGAAAGAATGGCTCCATGTTATTACCATCTTATAACACTTTATATTCTTTGACTAGAAATACGCATCAGTTTGTCATGTGATATCAATAATCGATTAAAATATTTGCATAATGCATAGTGATGTTTCATTTCACTAAGATTCAAGTTGTCTGTATTATACGGTAATAATAAAAAAATATGTAATACTACAGTAAAGAGTAATACATTTTCAAGTATATTAGCTTAACCAACAATTTATTGTGTATATATTACGCATGCGTCGTTAAACGCACGTATGACGAAACATGTGGATATGGTCCAAACTCAAATAATCGCTTCAATAAATCGCTTCAATCAATCGCTTCAGTGATGTGTAACTGAAATTCAACCGCCGTACAACAACATTGGAGTGTACCGACATAAGGGGGGCGAAGGGACACCAACATTGAGGCTTCAGTCCCACATGCGTTGTGCACACATTATATAAGTACTTTACAGTCTGTTACAGTTAAATAATACCATGTTGCGTGATTAAATGTTTATATTTATTTGTCCAAGTGGTTGTCGAGACTGGAATGTCAAGTCTGAATTTTGAATTCCTAATGGATTGATTAAATATTCTAAATATAGAACCTCTGCGCAGAGTTGGACTTAATTCCTGCCACATCGACTCAAAATATTCGTATATGGCTTGTCGTCATTCTCACGTAGGACTGAAGGCAAAAGCTTTGGGCACAAAGTTTATACTTGTTACACTAACTAAACCACATATTTACCCTGAAGGAATATTTGTGAATTTTGTTAACATTTTGTTCGTATGGTCATACATCATTTATAATACCGTGGCTAGTCATTTAAAAGTTACCCCCCCCCCATCCTGCTACTCCCATAATTGGTAATTGTTCTTGCCCATATAGATCCAATATTTTCAAATACAATTATGTTTTTGTTTTAGTTAACCTGCGTTTATTGCACTATATTACTAATTACTACACATTGTGCAAACGTTTTTGTGAATACTATCAAAATGTGCTTAAAATGAGACAAAGGCTCATTGTAAAGATTATTATTATTTTCCGCAATTTAGTTGATCTAATCTTGTCTGTATTATTACTACCATATATTGATATGCACAACGCGGTTAACAACAAAATCCGTCTTACCCGAATTTCGCATAGACGTTTCGGCCCGCCGATTATCTTGCAAAAATTATAATTTGAATGGTTCTGTAGTCGATATAGACGTTCTCGTATGTGTGCAAGGGTTATGCTCGTTGGCTGGAATTTTAATAAGTGCTAGGCGATGTTTAGTTTCAATCTGCAAAGTGAAAAACTCCCTAGGTCGACGACAAATGTTTAAACAGGCCGTTGCTAAGATATAAATTCGACGTATTAATATAGTGCTTGTCGTTTTTTTTAAAACAAACATATTCAATCATTTGTGGACACTGGACATTACAATGATTTTTCGTCATCTTTCATTTTAATTAAGAATACATTAACGGGTAAAAGAACGTCTATCATTAAGATGGCCGCTGACTTTCGCGTCGTTAGTGAATGTCATTTATGCGATTGACACATGCGTTAACAAGGCTATTATTTGGTCAACTGATCATATTACACACAAGCGTCATTTGAATGATCGATTGCAATGTATATTGACCAGCAGTTATATATATATATCTATTTAGTGTTTAGTCGCAGAAAGAAAACAAAAAATATAAAAATATCGACACGTGCGCAATACATTCGATTTCCAAAAGCAGTGGATACCAATTTATCACCTGTTCTGAGTTTAGTGATATATATTCAGATGCTCATATTCGGCTATTGATACTAATACAAATTGTTATATGTACACCATGGTATTGTGTGGTCCTGGCACAAGTGTATTTGCTAAAGATTAATCATATGCTAGACAACATCCACTTGTATAAGTCAGCCTCGTACAGCCACAGTTAATTGATTATTTCTTCTAGTATGTAACCGAGCTAGTTTTGTTTTAAAAAGTAAACTCGAGGTTCTCCTCTCCACATGTCGGGATAA